CCGAGGGTTGCGATCCCGTTGCCGGTCCCGGTCCGGTACGGGCGCGACACTGAGGTTTGCAGTCTGTTGCCGGACATGAAAAAAGATGAAAAGGAAAAAAAAAAAAAAAAGAGTATGGATTCTGGAGCTAGGCTGGCACAGCTCAATTCAGTCTGTTGCCGGACATGAAAAAAGACGAAAAGGAAAAAAAAAAAAAAAAGAGTATGGATTCTGGAGCTAGGCTGGCACAGCTCAATTCCCAGCTCTAGCACGTCCTAGGTGAGTGAACTTGGACAGATTACCTAACCTCAATTTCTTCATTTGTAGAATGGGGACTGATAGTATCTACTTTATGGGGCTGCTACCCAGAACGATTCAATAAAGTACTCCAATCGGTGCCACGCACACAGTAAAAGTTCAATAACGATTGGGCATATTAATGTGATAATAATTATTATATTTAAATAAAAAATATAACCTATAAAGATGTGATGACATTTATGAATTTTTATAAACCAAATTGTTTAGTAACAAAAAGTGCAAAATAAAAACTGTTAGAAATAAAGAAGAGCTAAATAGAGACACAATGAGAGTGAATTCTTCAACGCAGATGAGCTAGAAGAAAATTAAATAAAGGAATAGAGACAATGAACAAAGTATTTATCAGACAGTATAACTCAGTGGCTAAATAGCTGGCTCAGACCTGGATTTGAGCTATGGCTCTGTCCTTACTAGCAGCATGATCACTCAGCCTCAGTTTCTACATAAGGTCTTTGTGTGTCCAGAACCGATGCTTTCAGTGCCAGCCTTGGTTGAGATTATTGGTGGTGCTTTCCAGGGATCACAGGAAGGCATGTAAAGCTAGGAAGACTCTAGAGGCAGTGGTTGTTTAGACGGAGTGCAGGAACCAAAGCTGTCGATGATGGTGAAGGTGTAAGGGGTGGGTGGGGGGCAGGGTAGGAAAATAAGGAATTTTAGATCAAAAAGGGAAGTCTCTGAGTTGGGAAAAAGGTGAAAAGCACGATTCCTCATGTTCTCATCTGTTGATTCAGTTTTTCTGATATTTCTTTTTTGTTTTTTTGTCAGACTTAGTATTTGATTTGGTTTGTTTCTAGGAGAATAAGCCCATTTTGGTAATGGAATACTGGGTCGGTTGGTTCGACACCTGGGGAAATGCACACCACACTAAAAGTGTGAGAGGTGAGTGCTTTGCCGTGTTTGTCTCCAGGTGGACATGGCCCTGGGTCCTGGATCATTCTCACAGTTCTCTGCTAATTACCTCACTGATTCAGCCACAAATATTCATTCAACTCCTGTTATGTACAAGCGTTAGGCCCCAAGGATGCACTACTGAATCAAAATTGCATGGTTTCTATTTCCAGCAAGTTTATAATTTAGTGGAGTTGACAGATTGTTAAAAAGTAAAACAACTAACATACAGTTCCACATTTGGCAGGTACTTTGAAGGAAACAAATAGGGTATATGAGAGAAAAGACAGGGAACAGACCTGCACAGGTAAGATAAGGTGGTCATGGAAGGTTCTCTGAAAGGTGACATCTCTGAAGAGGCTGGTGCATTTGCTTAAAGTCTTAATTGTCAGGCCTTTTCTGGAGGTTGTCACTCCATGGTAGTAATTATCAGGAGAAAACATGCAGGGATGGCTGAGAGCATGAATCTTGGAGCCAAGAAGGCAAGGGTTTCAGTCCAGCTCTGCCACACTAGCCGTGTGACCTGAGGCCAGCTTCCCGCACTTCCTAGTCTCAGTGTCCTCATTCAAAAGTGGAGATTATCATGAAACCAACCTTACAGGGTGGTTATAAGGAGTAAATGCTGCCTGGCAGTTATTGTTTAATTAATAAAAGTATGTTGCTGCTAAAGATATGTTGCTATAGCTATTATGAAAACAAGCTCACTTGTACCTGAAGTGAAGAAAACCATTGACAAATACTTGGCGACTGAGAAAAGACTGCTTTGGGCCAAAAACCAGAACCCCCCCCCAAAGAAAACACCACTGCCACTACCACCAGTAATGCCAACAACAATACCATAACCACCACCACCACCAAACAACAGTTTTCTGATCGCTTGTAGGTCAGGCACTATGCCACGTTTCTTACATCATCTCATCAGTTAGTTGTCTCAGCAATCCCATGATGTAGGAATTAATTGCTTGTATGTCAGGCACTATGCCATGTTTCTTACATTATCTCATCAGTTAGTTGTCTCAGCAATCCCATGATGTAGGAATTAATACCTTCGTTTAACAGCGCTTGTAGGTCAGGCACTATGCCACGTTTCTTACATCATCTCATCAGTTAGTTGTCTCAGCAATCCCATGATGTAGGAATTAATACCTTCGTTTAACAGATAAGGAAGCAGAGGCTTGGAGAGAGAAAATAGGCTGCCTGAGGTCATGCAAATACAAAGGGCACAGCTAGGATGGAACTTCCCACTGACATCAAGCCTTTGTGCTTCCTGTGGTGGCCAGCGGAGAGATGACTACCTGTTAAAGCATGATGGCAAAATGGAAGTTCCCGAGGTTAATGACGGAGAAGAGCCACTTGCAAGACTACTGCAGTGGTTCTAAATCAGGGTCCCCGGAGACATTACTCTAGAAGGTGGTAAAGAGGGTATACTAATTATTTGTGTGGTCTCAAAAAATTTAATGAAAATGAGGTATTTAAGTCCATTAGAATTCTTACCCTAGGGCCGGCCCGGTGGCGCACTGGATAGTGCGCTGCTTGGGAAGCGCGGAGGCGCTCCCGCCTGAGGGTTTGGATCCCACATACAGACCAGTTCCCGCTCACTGGCTGAGCGAGGCGCGGGAGCAACACCGAGGGTTGCAATCTAAATTAGCAGGATGGAACTTCCCACTGACATCAAGCCTTTGTGCTTCCTGTGGTGGCCAGTGGAGAGATGATTGCCTGTTAAAGCGTGATGGCAAAATGGAAGTTCCCGAGGTTAATGACGGAGAAGAGCCACTTGCAAGACTACTGCAGTGGTTCTAAATCAGGGTCCCCGGAGACATTACTCTAGAAGGTGGTAAAGAGGGTATACTAATTATTTGTGTGGTCTCAAAAAATTTAATGAAAATGAGGTATTTAAGTCCATTAGAATTCTTACCCTAGGGCCGGCCCGGTGGCGCACTGCTATAGTGTGCCGCTTGGGAAGCGCGGAGGCGCTCCCGCCCGAGGGTTCGGATCCCACATACA